TGGATGCTGAGGAAGCCCGATCGAGTGGGGTCGAAACTGCACTCCAGTCCGGTACAGTCCGGATGAGAATGGCTTTTGGCAAGTAAAACCATGCGCCAATAGTCAACTATCCTTTCGTCATCCATTGAAACGAAATGAGGAGAAATCATTTCATGTATAGCACCGAGGCCTATTTATAAAACAAAAATGAGCAAGATCTGTTTCTGATTAATCGACAAAATCATTTTGTATTTCGTTTTGAGTGGATTTTAGAGGCTACCAGCAAAGCAGATCTATCAGTTACGTTCAGCCCAGTTCGCTGATATCATATGAGTAGTGCTGACGCTTCTGTTGAATTTCACGCAGACTTGATTTTCCCAAAAGTGCTGGAGTGGACTGCAGATTCGCCCTCGACCGAAATAGTTTTATTCAGAAATAAAGACCAAAATGGTGTGACCCCGGGCATGGTTTTATCCAGCTAAAAGGTCTGATTTAAAGGTGTTCTCGAAAACCTACTCAAAACGAAACCATGTACCAAAAGTCAACTATCTTTTCGTCGTCCATTAAAACGAAATCGGGAAAAGTCATTTCATTTTATAGAATCTAATGGTAGTACCAAGGCCTATTTATAAAGCAAAAATGAGCAAGATCTGTTTGTGATTGATCGACAAACTCATGTTGTATTTCGTTTTGAGTGGATTTTCGAGGCTACCAGCAAATCAGATCTATCAGTTATGCTCAACCTAGTTCGCTGATATGATATGAGTAGTGTTGACGCTTCTGTTGAATTTCACGCAGACTTGATTTCCCCAAAAGTTCTCTCATCCAGGCTGGAATGAACTGCAGATTCGACCTCGACCGAAATGGTCTTATTCAGAAATGAAGACCAAAATGGTGTCGCCCCTGGCATGGTTTTATCCATGGTGTTCTCGAAAACCTACTCAAAATGAAATATAAGTAATATCGTCGATTATTATGGCGAGGATAAGTTTGCTGCGCCAGAAGAATGTGATATGGGAAAATGTATGGCATTCGTTGTGATTCACACCTGATCGTTGACCCAGGGCACTCGTGGCAATATGGCGTGGTGGTCAACGTCATGGTTCGACTCCCGTTTGGAATGTGTTGCTAAGACCTGGGCGAGGTCGGAAGTGCAGTCCGCAGGGTTTTGACACGTCCACCATTACGTCACAATTCAATGGAAACATGAGGCCTGTTTGTGTGATTGTGGTAAAATTCAACTACCAGTCATTTACCACTTTAAATTGGAATAGAATTAATCGCTCCAATAGTGAACTTTTGCTCATTTTTCACATTTCACTCCCTCTTTCGCGTCCCATCACTGGCGTGTGGGCAGAGGGTCATTCGGGTGTACAGCATGCAGCAGAGAAAGGACAAACTTCAACTAGAAAATGTCGGTAGTTGTGCGGTGGTGGTGTTGTCCGGCGAAAGGGGTAGGTTGGTGACCGACTTGGGGGTATCCGCGAAGGGATCATGTTGATTTGGGTGCCGAGGTTGACCAATGAGAGCGGTTGTGGGACGCCAGGACGACTGGCCCAAAGTGGGTCGGGCAAGCGGATGAAGTGTGTTCTGTTGTCATGGGGGCCAAGGAAGGACGTGCTTGAAGGTACACTGGACTTGTGAGCTCTTTTGTGAGGACAAAGCCAGTTTTGTATGGCCGACTGAGGCAAGGCTCGAATCGGAAACACACTGCCCGGTCAGATTCACACAAATTCACATGAAAACTCACGTCCGTTCGGTCGCACACACACACACACACACATACGCATGTACATGCCAACAGGCTAGGATATCTGCTGTACAAGTCGGGTCGAGAAGAAGATCATTTTTGTTTTCTCGCCATAGCTGACGCTCAAATTTGACAAAACCCGCTGGTCTTTCGAGTATCGCTTTTGCTCTGTTTGCTTGTCTGCCGTGTTGGTTAGTCGATGTGTTT